AACTGAGTAAAATCTAAAAAACTCTTGATACTGGTTAGTAAAAGAATAGAGATGATTCTAAATCCTTTATGTAGTCAATACAGTAAAAAAATACATGTTTGATATTCAAAACTACCTGTATCTAGAATGAACAGATCTGTTCTTTATTTTGCATTAGATGGTCTTGAAAGAAACTGAAGTGTTTTATATCCTTCATTTCCATATACCTGAAGGAATGACATATTTGAAATTTTTATCACATTGAGAATATTGGTCCACATTAATATAAAATATTTTAAATACGACAAAGTTGTATTTGGGATACCCAGTCAGACATATATTGTCTGAAGTCAGGCTTTCAGAAATGGAAAAATATTTTAAATTTTGGCTCAAGAGTTTCTATAAGTGGATTTTTATGTCTCTCACATATTTCTTTTTTTTTATATATAACTGACTCTTCATGCACACACACTTAATGGGAGAGCTCTATCTTACTGGAACGTTACCAGTGGGACCTCTGCTGTTTTTTCAAAATTAAAAATTCCGTGACTGAAAGATATGATCTTGCAGATTCTTAACAGCATGAAGAGCTTTTGTTCCTGATTTCATAGTATTCATACTGGATTTTTGGAATTTTGCAGATGCACACTGTAACCCAGTGCCATATTTTGAATCTAACCAAATATCTGCAGTAGGATAGGATACCATGGCACCAGGGTACGGCATGAGCTAATTAATTCTGCCATCAAATCGACATTGTAGGAACCAGTCCTTCAACTTGCTGAGTTCCAGCTGATTCTTTCACCAGGTGTAGTCCCAGATACTCACGCGAGAAAGTTCCCTACAGCACCAAACCTTTTGCTATTAGGTTTAGCTATCATTTTTAGTTAGCTTTTAATTTCTTAATTCCCACCTGTTAGGCTTCATGTGTGTATCTTAAGTTTTATGATCTATCAGAATGTTACGAGAGAGAGGTATATAATAACTGTATAATCATTTGGGAAACAGATCTGCAATCTGCACCACAATTTCACATAGGTTTCTCTAACTGGAATTACAGGAACATTTGGGATGTATTAATACTGATAGATACTGAGCACTTAGAGGCCTAAACCCATAAATTCAAATTTGATTCCTTCATCTATGCTGTAAAAGTCTTGTTTACAATTTTTTAACATTTTTACTCTTTGTTTTTCTTTTATCTTTTATTTGGACAGGACAGTGGAATGAGTAGCTTGTAGTCCTTCATTTCTTTTTGTTGTTTGTATTTAGTTCTAATTCTCTGTGGCCCAGAAAAGAGTAATACTTGAACAGGACTAACATTTCTGGATTGCTTTATTAAAGTTTTGTCAAAAAAACCACTAATTAAAATCAGACAGTGTGATTTTTAAAAACTTGATTAATTAGCATAAACAATATCCCTATAATAAGCTCCACTGACATTTTTGGTGTTCTTTTCATAGTAGATTACTGTATTCTTGCCTCTAATTATAGTAAATCCTATTACATTAATTTTCATTGTACTGGTAATCGGATTAAAATAGTATAGCATTAAGAGTCATACACATTGTAATGAAAACAGCTCTATACATTCTAATGAGAGCAACTTTTTTCTTGAAAATCAAAAATGGTTTTCATATTTGTAATAAGTGTGCGAATACACAACTAGAGACATAAACCAGTCTTGAACTAGGATTCTAACCAATTTCAACACATTCATGAAACATCCAGCTAGCCTTCAGACTTATGAATGTGGAAACATTCCTATCAGCATTTAATGAAAGATATTAATGATGCTAAAAATGCTCTGACTTTATAAATTTCCTACTCATATTATATTATAAATAAATGATAATTAGAAATTTATATTTATAATATAAAACTAAATTATAAAATGAGGCATGTGTATAATTTTTGGCAGGAGAAACTCCTTAAATTTTAGTAGTACTCTCTGTCATTTTGATGTACTTATCCTCATGTGTACAGCTACCATGCACAAAACTCACTACTCAACTGAAAAAAATGCAAAGGCAATGTTCTAAGGAAGTAGACTTTCTAGACAACTGAGCACAGTGGTATGAATTGGTCCTCATTCTAAATTTTTCACAGTGGTTCTATAACACATCTAACACAACAATTCAGAAAGTCATATTTTTTTCTTAGCCTCCAATATTCTGAATTTTTGTTTTTCAGAATTCCACACCCTTTCTTCAGGGAACCATCATTATTCCCCGCTTTTCACAATCTTCCATTTTCTTTTAATTGTTGTGTGCTTGGAGGCTTCCCCATTGGGCATAACATCTAAAAATGAAAGCTATTAACAACTCTACATCCCAAAATCACAGCAAGGTCTGATCACACTTCACCTCAGAGTTACATAGTTTCACAGTTCTAACAGTACACGGTTGGCAGGACTAATTAATTAGATCTTTGTGTACTAAGATTGTGATGTGTTGCAGATGGCAATGTATTTCTTAGAATCTTTTCTGGGAAGCGATGTTACTTACACTTCTTTTTCTTCTGCATCTCACATTGAAATTGTATGCTTGGTGATTTCTTCCCTCCAGTAGTTTTCTACATGAATAAGCCGTATCAGAGAGCACTAATGGAATTCATGCATATGCTTATTTTTTTCTACATTAAGCTTATTTTATCCTGTAAGAGGGTCATGCTTGTCAGGCATAATGTGATATTTGGATAATTTTGGCTTAGGGTGGTTTTCCTTTTTTTAATTTTTTTTTTTTTTTTTTTTTTTTTTTTTTTTTTAAGGAGTAAAATCTTAGTATTACAAGTTTGCAAGAAATAGGTAAACGTCAAAGCACTGGACAGTGCCTGTACAAGTCCAATTTGTTCTAGCCCGAATTCTTCACTTCAATAGTATTCTTATTTTTACAGTAACCTAAAATTTGCTTGTAAGAGTATAAAGCAGCAGCACATCAGACCTGTAGAACTATTTGTACAGGAAACCATTTCCAAATAGCCCTGACTGTAGTGAAACGGGGATATTTGCTTGCAAGTTTCTTATAAATATTTCAATTGCTTAATCTAGAAAACCATTTCTTCTTGATAATCCATAGTAAAATAAAAGTTATTTATTCTGTGAATAAATTCTCTTAAGATCTTCTTTGTCTTCTGAGAAAACAAGGTGAACATTTTTTTCTTCCAAAAGCAAAATTATTTACCTCTTTCCATTTTGGCAGCTGAAATAAATGACCAGGATGAACTGTTTCAGGAAGTGCAAGTCAGTTCTAAATGACTGTGTCAGTTCATTTATTAGACCCATTAGACCCTACTTAGACCCATAGCTGTTTGCCACCACTCAAGCCAGCCTGTCATGAAGACACTTTAAAGAAATATGAAAACTTCCCCTTCTGTAGATGGTCAATTATGCAGTACAGTGTGATCGGAAAATTCCTTCAAGTGTTTTGGTGTATTTTTTATGATGGTACTGTATTTATCTCTCTCGCTATATCTATCATTTTCACTTAACATGGAGTTTATGGAAACAGCAGTATTAGACCAGAAAAAACCTTTGCATTATATACAATAAATACATTAATGTGAGTACAGAGAAACCCTAGTAGATCACAAAAAGTCACAGAACTATGTATTTTAAGTGCAGATAGGAAACACACAAACACATACACATTTTACTTACTTTTGAGGAGAGAGAAAATAGCCCCCAGAGTCAGTGCATCCGACAAACTTGTGGATTCTAAGGAAATCTTTTGCCTTTTTTTTCTTTCTGGAAAGAAAATGGGAGATGTATGAAGCTTACACATGATAGATTGAAATGGCAAGAAAGTCTGTTACAGTAGCTTTGATATAAACCTTTATTAATATTATTACTATAATTGAGTAATTGTATAAATTCACATTACTAACAACTACTGCAGAAAAAAACCCCCTCCTTGGTAAACAGGAACTTATGGATTAAATTAGAGATGGAGATCAGTTATCTAATGTCATGTTTTAATGTCACTACTGTATTGTGTCGGTCTCTGGAACACCACCACTTTACCAAGGGAACTGTGTAATAATATGTTCTCAAATCATATTAAATACCACAGAAGCATAGAATAGGACATATGTATCAAGACTTTTTTATCAATCATTGGAGTACAAGACAGCAAGGGGAACAGGTTTATCCTAGGAATAAACACAGTATTAATTCTTCAGCATACACAGTAGCACAGTATTGAGAACTCCATGGAATGGATGGTGTAAGGTTATGAAAAGTCTCTGTTATATGCAGAGTAAAGCTAACTAAGACTATCCTAAAATGCAAATAAAAGATTCTATTTAATATGTCATAAAATCAGCAACAAGTTTACTTAATGTTTGATTTAGCTCTAATAAATTTTGAACTTGAGTGCTTGAAGTGTGTCATTAAGGTCTAATCTGCCGTCAAAAGTTGCTGATGTGATCATTACATTACTAATAAGGATGTCAGTTATTCTGGTAAGATGATTTTTTTTCTTTTTACCAAACAGTGTTAGATTTGTTGAACAAAATAAGCTATGTCAGCAAATAAAGAGTATTTTTGCTTGTTCACCAGCACAGCTATGCCAGTTAGGAGTGTAGGATTTTTTTCCTCACATTATTCCAGAAAAATTACATTATCTGAAGTAACTTAAGCACAGCCAAGACTTTTAAAAGTGCACTTCTGTAGTGTCTCCAAGGAGACTTTTGAGTAAGACTTAAATGTCCCTTCCTCCTGTGAGCACAGTTAAGACTGAAGTCACACAGGTGAGAGTTTGAAAAGGATGTCACCTAGTGACAACTGGCACTGCAGAGTAGTGTGAAGGGCTAACAATAAAGGAAAGCAAGTTAAGGTTCCAAAATCCCTGTTCCAGTGACAGGCTTATTGATCTCAAATCTAAAACCAGCAGGGGTAGATAATGCTGCAAAATCTTGCTTTGCACTCCCTGGAATCTGATATATATTCTACCAACAGTAAAACAGAAAAAATGAGAGTCACAATTTAGGATGAAAGTAGCTTTACACTACAATTACACTACCTTATTCTTAGTGGCTGATGGGAGCTCCCAAAGTACAACTGCCTCAGTGGCATCCTCTAAGTCGCAGTCAGTCAGCCTCCTGCTGCTGAAAACAGCCTAAAATCACCATGGCATGGGCCAAGATTCCATCACACACACTGGTATTAAACTCCACCTTCTCAGGATCCACCCATCTGTCTTGTAGATACACCACTGTCCTATTGAAAAAACAAGTATGAGTGGAGTTTGTGCCAAGCACACATCCATTCAAGTGCAGCAGTCATACATAATATCGTAAACTTGTCTGAAAGAGCAGTCTGTTCCTCTGAATCAAGAAGTGCATTGGAAGGACATTCAGGGGACAGGCTTCAGAAGAGGTTGGGACATCACAGTCTGTAAGCAATATATAGATTACACAGTTCTGAGGTGAAGTCTGCAGTTAAGTTACCTAAGGAAATAAAAGTTAGGAAATTAGTATGGTTCTGCTTGGTTTTGTACTGAAAAAAAATCCCATGGAACAACTATATTAACTTGGAGTAATCTAACTCCAACTTAAATAATTTTTAAAACACATGCTAGGTTCAAAAAACGCAAACAACTTCCATCTTTCTGGAGTGAAGGAGAGTGTTAGACAGAACAGGTTTGCATTGAGAATAGTAAATATCATCAGACTGCCTCTCTTGCAGGGATATCTACTGTACAGATTTTGGTCTTACCTTGGCAAATAGGTCCACGCAGGCCTTAGAGCTAAAATAAGGGGATGTCTGGATGCTTACCCTAATCTGGAAGTTGCTGATTGACTCCTGTTAAAAATAGGATGTTCATCTGAAAGGCAAGAAAGACGGGATCTTTTTACTCTTTCAGCGTACGTATACAACATTGCTGCTTAAAGCAAGATGTTATGAAAGCCAACATATAATGAAGCCATTGGTGATAGAGCTAAGAAGGAACAGGTACAAGACAAACAGAAATACTGCCAGTTAAAATTAGAGAATAAAATGTCTTCGTTAATGTCTGATTTTTGTCTCTGTAATGCACATCAAGAAATACAGAAAACGATACATAAAATGTACAAAAGTTAATTTGTTAGTGCCAGATTGATAGAGTATAATCATTGAGAACTATAGAGCTAAATTTGGGATAACTGTAATTATTTAGCAAATTTAAATAGATTTAGGAATTCCTAGTGAATTAAGAATAGGAATTGTATTATAAAGCAGTTGAATAAAGATTTCAGTTATACACCCATGCTCCATTGTAAGTTTTTACACAAGGTATGGTTGCCATATTTCTTAACTCTTTCGTATATAAATACTTAAAATAAATTTATGTCCCAAACCTGCTACTGTAAAAATGAAGAACAATGTTTTGGGACTCTCTAATACAGAGTCCTTTTACAAGGTAAAGAACTCTGAAAGCTTATCTGCTTCTTCCAGGTTGATCAGCTTTCAAATAAACTTTGCTTCCCTCTTATCTTTAGATTGCCTGATCTACAAAATTTTTACCACTACAACCAGATTAATACTAGATTTTTCTTTCAAGAATTTCTATATGAGATGGATTTTTCTAACTGGTGGGTATAACACTCAAATGTGATATTCAAACAGTCTCATCATTCTTTTAGTCAGCATTACCTAGCATATCAAGGTGTATATTGTATTTTTAATAGGATTGTAATTGAATGTAAATGACTATTTCAATTACAATAGCATTCATCAGTAGCTAGCATTCTGATGTCAAGAATAAAATTCAGCCCACACTTACTCTCTTGTAACTTTTGTGGGCAACAGCAGTTTTTTCAGTCAGCTAATGATGACTAGATATGCAGAAGGAAAAAAGCAATTTGTTTGTTTTACAAGTTTTGATTTTAAGTCAAAGTAAGATCCTTAGAGGTTTCAAAACTGATTTGATGTTCTGTCTATAAAAGATATAGACTTTCCAATTAGTATACTACTAGCATTGTTTAAGTACAAAAATTAATGCCTCCTTTCTTTATCTTTGTGATCATTTCAAGTTAGGCATCCTTCATTGCTTTTTTAATGCTTGAGCACTCTGAAGTCAAAAAACCCATTAACTGTATTGTGAGAGCTGGAGATGTACAGGCTCACACTGAACATCAAGCTGCCATTTCAATTTTTTAAATCGTTTTGTGACACAGAATTTCAGGACATTTGTGTACATCAGATTTCTTGGCTGAAAATGCAAAGCCGTCCAACTCATTAACTACAGCAATACAACTAACATGTTTCTAATTGGGCTTATAAGTACTGTATTTATGTTCTCTACTTCCTGTGTAATGAACAGGCCTAGCTAGAATGCAGCCTACTACAGTCTTGAGGTATATATTAAACACATGCACACAAAGAAAGATAATCAGCAAAATGCTCATCTCTGAGCCATAAAGTGACAATGCTGTGTGCATTATCTCTTCCTAGCTGACAGTGCCACCTTAGGATCCCAACTCTGGGTAAGGATTACAATTAATACTATTTCTATTATAGCAACTTAATGAAAAGTTGTCACTTGAGCATGGATTTGTTCATACCTGCACTCTGCAAAATATCTATGTGCTGAAACATGGTATCTCTAGCCAAGGTATTTCCCACCACTGTTGATCAATGTGTCAGCTAAGTGCTACACTTCACTTCAGAGATCTTTGTGCTGATGTCTCTGATCATACTGTGCCATGTGTTAGAACTTATTCCAAAAGCACTTCTCAAACGCAGTGGTCTTCTGCTGCTGTTAGTGCTGAGCTTGAGGAGGAAGGCACAGAACAGATTAAAGCTGTAATGACAACTGTGTGACACCTAAGGCCATGACACACTTACATGTTCAGCTATTTGTGCTTAAGTACCCAGAAGGTGGGCACCCCCTAAAAACATTTTATACTTTTAGTTTGTCTTAATCACCATCTGATTCTCGAACACACTTCAGTTGCTTTCCGCACATGGAATTCCTCACATGGGATGCGCTGTCCCACCGGCCTCCACACCTCACCTTCACCTCACCACTGCTCTCACCTTCATCCTTAACTCACCCTCACTCTCACCTCACTTCACCCCACCCTCCTGCTGACCCTCCTGTTCACCTTCCCGCTCACGGGGCCGCCCTGGCAGGCCGTGAGGCGTTTGCCCCGGAGTTCGGTTATTGCTACCCCCCAACCGGCACCGTCAGCCGGGAGGACGATTAAAATAACATAGGGCTCCTGTAGGCGCTAATGGGATTAGAGGCGAAGCGAGGAGGCGCGGGCAACGCTGCGGCCATGGCGCGCCTCTGATGGCGGGAGGGCAGCGCGGCGACTGCGCCTCATGGGCGGGGGCGGGATACCCCAGGTAACCGGGGAGGGCAGCGGGGCGGGAGCGCCCCGGCGGCAGGCAGGGATGGTGGGGAAGGCCCGCTCGCGCCGGGGGCGAGGGGAGGCGGCGGCCGCCCGGAGATAGCCCAGGTGAGAAGAGGGCGAAGCGGGGGGCCTGGTCGGGAGCGGGGAGTGCGGCGCGGCGGGGGAGAGGGAGGCGCGACAGTGGGTCGGGGGGCAAAGCACGGGGGGCTGCGAGGAAGGGAGTGCGACAGCGGGAGGAGGAGAGGAGCGCGGGCCCGGGGGAGGGCAGAGCGCGGCGGGAGGCGGAGGAGAGCGTCAGCTGGAGCGGGGATAGCGGGAGCGCGGCGGGAGGCGGAGGAGGAGAGCGTCAGCTGGGGGCAGAGATAGAGGGAGTGCGGCAGGAGGAGGAGGAGGAGGAGAGCGTGAGCCGGGGGGGCAGAGAGAGAGGGAGCGCGGCAGGAGGAGGAGGAGGAGGAGGAGGGGAAGAAGCGCGACGCAGGGACGGCAGATGCCTGGAAATAAAAATTTGATGATTGCATGCAGCGGCTGGAGAGACTCTGTCGGTGGCGGCGGCGGGGACGAGGCAGGGACAGGGGGGGCGACGGCAAAATGAAGTATCAGAAATACCTGACTGTCTTGCAGATGGCCATAGGGGTGACCGCCTCCAACAGGGGCAGTCTGATGCCCTTAAAGAGGAAGCTGTGGTGAGTAGGCACAAACGGGGCCGAGGGCGCTGCGGGCCGGGAGGGCCGAACGCGGGCCGCGGCGGGACGGGCGGGCGCGGCGGCGGGGGGTCCCCGCGGACATGGGGGGCGCCGTGCTCAGGCCCGGCCTGCGGCGCCGGGCGGGCATCGCCGGGGCACAAAGTTCCCGGCGGATTCGCCGCCAGCCGTGCGGAAACGCCGGGAGGCGTTTGCGGTGCCGGCGGAGCTGTCCGCGCCCGGTCCAGCGCAGGACGCGGCCGGAGCAGGCTCCGCTCCCGCGGGGGCAGCGCTGCCGGACCCTGCACCGCGGCAATGGCAGCCCGGGCTGAGGGCGCGGGAGCGGCTCCGGCGGAGGCACCGCTTGCGTGACATCCCGAGTGTTGCCGCCGATGTAGCGCACTGTGCTCCCGCCGCGGATTGTGCAGAGAGCCGGGTCTGAATCCCCTGCCCCTGCTGTCAGGTGTACCGAGAAAACGTGAAAAGAGAGACGCAGATCTCATAGATTAGTGAGCGACAGAGGTAGTGCTGGTCAAATATGGTCATTTTTATTTAAACCTCGCTTTTCCCCTGACTGATTCTGACTCCTTTTGTGCTTGCTAATTGTGTGCTGAACTGATTTTTCTGGATGAATCAACAACATGTTATGAAAAATGTATTAAAGTATAGTGGTGTAATGTGGGTGAGTAGGGCACCGACAGGCATATGGCACTGCAATATCCTGTCACTCGTGGGTATGCAAGAGCCCACTGTCAGCTTGATGGGAGCAATGGTATGTGTGTCATCATCAGGACAAATCATAAGGAGAAAATACAGGAACTTGTGAAGTTAGATTTTCTGTGAAGAAAATATCAATAATAAATTTGTAATTTCTTATCTATAAAAATACCCAAGAGTGATGTTTAGTTGGCAATGGTCGTACAGTTTTCTTTCACTGGACTTACATGTTCCTGTGAAGGAAAGTGTCACAGTGTCATTTTATTTAAACATAGTTCGCAAATAAAAATATTATCATGTCAGCAGTTGTAGGCTGTACATGAATTGTAGAGTGTGTTTTTTTACTTCGTTTTTCCCCACATTGTCAGCTAGCATAGACGGCATCAAGAAAATGTATTAATTGAAGAAACATAATGTGAAACTAGTAAGCTCTCTGTCATTAATTCCAGATCTTGCTGTTCCTTGCAGATAGAACACAATTTGGCGAATCTGTTCATCCTGACTGTATTGAACAAAATCAAATGAAGTCTTACACAAAATATGTTGTCGTACAGATAAGTTTTATTACATTAATCCAAGATTTTTACAATGTATTCAGTGGTTTGACTCTGATTATATAAGCTGCATAAAGTGTACCACACCTGTTTTATTCTCCCCAAATACCACTCCTGTGTGCAGCAGTGTAAGTAGTTAGGTGTTAATTATTTTAAGAAGTTTAATTATTGGTTGTGTAATAATAACAGTTGTTCAGTTTCATATTTTCTGTGGCTTATTGGAAATGTTTTATTTGCTGGCATGTGAAAGGAAAACTATCTTTATTTGTGTACTTACTTTCTGTAAGTCTGAAAGGACCCAATTCAGCTCCTGCTTTGTCTTCAGTTGCAGTTAGATCAGCTCTATGTTGTCCTGTTTCATGGTGAGATTCTGTGCTTTTTGAGGTATAGCAAAACGTTATAGTGGATCCATACTAATACTTGTCACAAGCATTGCATTTCATAACATTTCTAGCTTGATATCATGTTGCTGCAATGCAATGCTGTATGAAGATTTAGTTGACTAAAAGTGTTAAAAAAATAAGGTAGACTTTTTTTAATTTTAGGGAGATGTATGAATTATTTGAGCATTTGAAAGTATGTCTCTGGGATATTCTTATTAATAGGTGACATGATATAATGTATTCACGTTTTCTTTGAGAACTTTAATAGCATTAGGCATTATCTATTTGGATAGAATTTATGCTTATGGATGAAATACTATTTTCTGATGCATTTAGAGAAATGTTAAAGAAACTTTGTCACGTTATTTTTTTCTTACTTGTGCGTAGTCTCTATCCAATAATACATTAACAAATCTGAATATTAGAGAGAAGGATATACTGATGTTAGTAAAATCAGTGAGATATTAGTGTATATTTCCAACACTTAAACCAAAAGTTGATTTCAGTACTATATAACTGGAAATTTCAAAAATACCTAAAGAAAATGTATAAGTCAAGTTAGTCCATGGTCAGAGGATGCTTTTCCCTCTATTTTTATTTGCTTATCTTTAAAAATTGACACCATTGTGTTTAACCAATCGTATTTGTAAGCTTTTTGATGTGTTAATGTGTGTGACTGGAAGCAAAGACATAATTTAATAAAAAAGGGTTAAAATACTCATGTTTTTGTTGGTGGAGATAATCCACCTGAATCCTACTAAAAGAAAATGAAAAAGGTAACAGCAATGTTTTATTTCTTTAGAGAGCATCTGTCACTCCAATTTTCTCCTGCTCTTCCCCCAAAAATTTAAGTCCTATTCTGCATGAAAGCAGAGCTACAAATGAAAACACAAAAGATGGACACCGGCTGTCTCACGATGGGTTAAGAACAAATACTTATTAAGTAGCGGAGAATAAACCAGGCGACTGAACAAACAGAAGGAAGCTATGGCACAGGCTTGCAGCGGGAAGTGGAGGAGACAAACTTGTTTTATGTGGAGCTTAACATTTTCTGATGAGGTTTACTTGGGGCAGTAGAGTTTTTGACTCAGGGAAGGAAGAAGCTGCTGGAGTCTTGAACTGCTGATTCAGACCCTTCCTTGTGTGTGTACAGTGTTGTAATCTAATATGTAGGAACCTAATTGAGATGAATAGGATGTTTTTAATCCTCTTGCTGGAGGGACAGTATTTTGATACGAGACCCACCATCATAACACTGCTGGTACAGGTAGAGTGCAGAGTGACTAACATCTGCAAAGGTGATCAAGAAAAACTGACAACTGACATGGGAGCACCTTAAAATAGTAAATTGTTGTAAATATTTACTGAAATCCCAATACTTGCAACCTGAGTCCTTTTACAACAGGGAAATGCTAAGTCACATTATTAAGGGGAGCTACACAGGTAGACCATAATTTCTTGTCACTCTGAATATTGTGTTTCTCTGCTGCAAGGAGAAGATGTGCAGGCAAATAAACAAGCAAATGAAAAAGAAAAGCCAATAACAACCCCCCCAACAGGATATCTTAGCAACTCTAATAGCACTAATATTCCCTTCTCTTTCTTAAACATTTGCCTTTACTTTGAAAGACTTCCTCTGCTTTGGATTACACCCCTGCTGCTCCCCTTGGTGCAGGGGAGTGCAGAGTCATGAAATAAGGCAAAAAACTTGTTTAGTGATAAGTTTTCATTGTGGAGATTATGGAAATGGCTGAAACTATTCCATATTTACATTCTTTTAAGAATGATTGGTAGTTGTCTGAGGCAATCTAGGTTATAGAAAGAATGCAGATGCAGTGCACTGCAGAATTTGAATTTTGACAGGATCCAGTTCCCATTTGGTGCTACTGTTAAAAGCATGTGTGATATAGTAGCTGGGATGTTAAATGATAGCTGCTTCTTGTAAGATACTGCACAGGCACAGTTATTTTCAAGAACAGGAGTAAACTTACTTGAAATCAGTGAAGAGTAACCAGCGTGTCTGGAATTAAGCACTGATCTGAAAGCTTCGTTGTTTCAGAGTCTTTGTATTCAGGCCGAGGCTTGGCTGTAGAAGCCTAGACTTATAATGAAGGATATCTGTTTTATCATTAGGACCATCCCTTGGGAGAAAAGTGCCATTGTTTGTTTATGTTCTAAGTAGTGTCATATTTAGTAGAATCAAATAATGGAAAATGTCACCTTAATATAGGAGATAGCAAACATTGAAGATTGATCTTCTTGGTGTCTCTACAGAACTTTGTGGAAAAATACAGAGCCTCAGAATGGGTATTTTCCATTCTTGACTACTGGTTCCAGCTAATATTTGTTTGAAATGGGGATAAAAATTTGAGTTTAGCCCATTCTAAGGATTTATTCATGTTGCAAATTAATTAATACTTTTTTTTTTCCTGATGGAGGCAGGATACTGTGCTTAGGACCTACATATTTCCAGAGGTGCACAAGAATTCAGCATAGCAGCTCACTGCTCAGTGTGGCCAGCCATTGTTTCTAATTTGCCTTTTATTTTCCCAAACAAATATTAATATTGAGTATGTATAATTGTTAGGATTTCCAGTCGCAGAAGTGGGAGTGAATGTTAGCTTTTCCAACCTTCTCTTTGAGCCAGAAGCCATACTGATCGCATTAAGCTGAGCCCAGCCTGTGTCTTCACTTTCTGTAGTACTGAGGAAGACTAGCTTCTAATGGGAGGGCATATAATTATGGGCATTTTATGCATCTTTCAACTGATATCTGTGTAGCTACTAGATGTAGAAGTTTCTAAGTTAGACTTTGATATTGCTACAAGTATCTAAATGCTTTTTTAATAGGTTAGGCAGACAACTTGTAGTATATGAAAAGTGTAATAATTACGTCACCCTTAGAAGTCTCGTGGAGGCTATGGAGTTGACAAAACCTTGTCCACTCTACGTTAATTGTACCATTAACACTACACTTGAAAAACGAATACAGAAAAATGTGTCATTTCAAGACTTGTTTTTTATACATGCTGATGCTGACTTTTATAAATTGTTCAGAACTCTGAACAAGAAGGGAATTTTTTAAGTTCTTGAAAAATTTTTCAGTCTAACTGGTCTGTCTAGAAAATAAGATGACGTTCGTCATTTCAGACATAATTTAACTACAAAAACATGTTAGGTCATATTGGAAGTTGTAAATAGTAATTATGTGCAAGTAGAAGATAAAGTTAGTTAATAAACCCCTGTTGTATACAGACCATCCAGTTATGTTATAATGTGTATTAAGTCGTTAGCCCTTGATGTGATTCTGCACCTTGAAGTCACTGTTGCA